TCTGGAATGATCTGAGAGCCCAGAAAGAGTACAGGAAGAATCACATATAAAGTCATGGGGCAAAACTTTGGAAGAAATTTCTGTGACTAGGAAGTAGAGATGAGGCCAGAAAGGCAAATGGAACTTGATTTGAGGCAGTCCTTGCTAGCTCAACGGCTTACTATTAAGCTATGAAGAGCTTAATAATAAGCCAGGTGTGGCTGCCTAAGAGTGTAATACTAACACGCTGGGCGGCTGAGGCAGGGAGGACTGCAAGTTTGAGCCCTGCCTGGGCAATTTAGCAAGACTCAGTCTCAAAAAAGGGCTAGGGATATAGCTCAGTGCAAAGGCCCTGGCTTTAATTCACAGTACTAAACAGAAAAAGAAAAAAAAAAAAAAAGCTTAAAAATAGAACCATTAAGCCACCAAAGGATATACTTGACCTATGAACTTAATTATTGCCCCAGTTCTGGTCACAAACTGAATTGGACTAAAAGCAAATCAAATTTCCCCATAAGGTCAACATTGAATCTAACCATTGAATTTGATTTGGTACGTATCCGATTTGGTTTGTGACCAAAACTGTGGAAAGAATTAAGTTCATGAACCGAGACACCACTGTACATTTTAATATGACTATTCATTACATAAAGAATAGGTCAAAGGACCAAGGATCTGAGGGAACAGGAATGGAGGTAAGGAAATGATCTAGTTAAGAAATGGTAACTTGGATGGTCACAACCGAGATGAAAAGTGGACAAGTTCTGAGATATTTAGAACAGCAGGACTCAGTGTTTGATTGGGTATATGGAGTACACAATAGGGAGAAACCAAGACTAGTTCCCACATTTTGGACTTTAGCAATTAGGGTAAATAAGGGCATGTAAAAGGAAAAACATGTTTACCATTTAGGTATTCGTTAAAAAGCTTAATTTTTAAAGAGTTGGATTTGAAGTGGTTGCAAACATAGAAATGTCCAATAGGTAGTGGATATATGAGACCTAGAGATCAGATGTGCTTGGACGGAAGTTTCAGTGAAAATGGAAGCCATGGGCAAAAAAAAAAAAAAAAGAGGAAGAGCTGCAAGAGATTGAAAAGGAATGTCAGGAAGGTAAAGGAAGAAATAGGTAGTCTCAGAAGGCAAGAAAGACCAAGAGTGTTATACTGAGTCAAATGACTATAAATTGAACATTCTGTATCAGAATGAAATGAAAAAAGCTAATGAAATAAGAGAGCACTCACCCATGGTGCCAAGGCAAGATACTTCTATAGGAAGGCTGTGATGAATGGAATTAATGTCTTCTGGTGCTGCACTTCTGCCTATACAGGTCTTGCTCAGAGCCCAAGGGTGCATTTCTAAGGTCCCATGTGACGCCTGTGTGGTAGTCTACAGACCACATTTGGTTCTGCTGTAGTTCTCAAGTCTTAGTGAATAATCACCTGCAGATCTTCAGATAGATGAGTGAGCTGCCATCCCTACAGATTCTACTTCAGTAGGTCTGGGTGGGATTCGATCATGTGCAGGGGATAGTTTCTAGTCATGAGACAGGTCCCTGGACCATACTTTTAAGATGCACAATTCAACAACTGCTGACTCCAGCAGAGAAACAGCCAGGGAGTCCATTTGAGCTTCCAAACACATTGCAAACAAGAAGTATTCCTGTACGCCAGTTGTGTTCTTTACCAGAGCTTACACCTTTATGATCAGTCTCTCCCCAGTTCCATGCTTACATGGCCAGAAGGAGACCAGGGCATGGATTTATTATCCATTACCCCAAAAGCCACTGTTTCAGACCTCAGACTCATTATTAGCTTATTCATTCTCAAGGCTCTCAGCAGTGAGTGCCTACTTCATATAGTCTTACAGCTTTATCTTGCTTAGTAAAACCATTTCATATTAAAACAAGCAGCAGCTAGTAAGTAGTTTTATTCAAGGGATGCACGTTTTTTTCCCAGAGTGAGGCAATTTAAAAGGACTCATCCAATAAAAGAGAAAAATCTTATTTGAGGAATAAATTCACATATGTATTTATTAAGGATGCAAATAGGTTTAATGTAAGGCATCTTCAAATCCATACTACAAAAAACACCAACAACCATGATGAAACACGATTACCATCTGAAAAAACAGCTGGCATTTTTATTAAAGCTAACCCGGCGGATACTTCAGTCTAGTGGCACAGAATGTGCTTGTTATTAATAGTAGTGGATACACAAAGGAGGAGAAAAATATTAGCAGGCAGGAATGACTAGGAAAAGCTTCTTAGATGAAATAATTTCATGTTAGATGGATGAGCTGCCTTTTCACAGGTACGTAACAATATATAGCATGTACTACGTTATATATACTATGTACCGTATCTTACATATACTGATATATACTAGTGTATTAATATGATTTATATATTCTGTATATTACAGGCATATTTGCATGTACTATAGTTATGCAAATTGCATATGTAATGTACATTACCTGTCATATATAATACGTATTTAGTATGTAATTATGTGTTGTCAAGTAAAAGGTGTTATCTGTTTTTCACGGTATGTTAAGAAAAACATCTAGTAGAAAGCACAGTATGTCCCCTCAAAAAAGGCTTACAATCAAGTTTGAAGATGGAATAACAGAAATTCAACATAGAGTATATTTTGGAAGAAAAACACTAACAAAACAGGGCCGGGGCACCCACACTAGAGGAGGGTGTCTGTAGATGAAGTGCTAAGCCTTCTAAGCACAGATCCGTGGAAACCAGGGACTGCGACAAGGAGCGATGATGTCAAGACCCGGGGAGAGGGGGCGCCAGGGCCCGCAATGTGGGGAAATGAGTCTTGTCCAGCTGCTCGGTCCTTCGTAGCTTCCTTTGCGGCATCATCCGCATCCAGCAGCACAGGGGCACAGGAGGCAAAGGGGATCAGCAGGGAGAAAAAGAGGTGTTTTTTTGGGGGTGGGGAAGGCCTCGCTGTGTAGCCCAGGCTGGCCTCGAATTCGTGGCAGTTCTGCCTCAGGTAGTGCTGGGCTTACAGGCGTGCGCCACCACGCCAGGCAGGGAGAGAGTTTTAAAAACAATAGCCGCCGGCCTTCAGGAGGTTCCAGGCCCACACCACTCTCAAATCCGGGGCGGAGAAAAGCCGCTGTTCCAGACCAACCGAGCGTGGACGAGCCTTCCTCCGAGCGGCCAGGCCCCTCCCCGAGCCACAGCCGTCGTCCTGACTCAGTGTAGGCGAAGGGGGAACTCCGTGACCCACTGGCCACTGCAACTGCCCGGCGGATCCGGGTCGTCCAGCAATCGGGGCGGAGCCGAAGGCCGGAAGTGCACCGCTTCCTTCCGGCCCAAACCGCACGAGACGGGGCGGGGCGACGCGGAAATGGGCGGAGGCTCACCTTGACTGACAACTCCAAGAACCTATGGGTGCAGCCGCAGCGGCCCAGCCTTCTCGGCGCGGCCCTTCGCGGGGCTACAGACGCCCCCTGGGTCCCCATTCCAAGGTATTGCACAAAGCCGCTAGCGCCTGGTCTTTCCTTTTCCCACCGCGCTGCGGACCGTGTACGGCTCCGCCCCCGCCGCC